ATAACTTTGTGTAAAGGTCAAATATTGGTTCTGTGTGTGCAAACCTGTGCTCTGTATCGGTTGATGTATGAATAAAAGGTGTACTCTTGTTGGGGTAGTAGATCTGGTATAGGAGGGGAGGGTTGGGAGGGATTTTTGTTGTATATTTCGTCTTTTTATTTTTTTTATTTTATTTTATTTATTTATTTATTTTATTTATTTTATTTATTTTATTTATTTATTTATTTATTTATTTTTTTTGTTTTTCTGATGTGTATGTGTATGTGTGGTGTATATAAAAAAAAATAATAAAAAGACCTTGATCAAAAAAAAAAAAAAAAAGCTGTACAAAACGAAATTTCCTTTTTTCTAAGTCTAATTCTAAAACATAACAGCTAATTTTGACAGCTGAGGAATCCAATATATCCAATGACTATCTGCTTCAAAAATTTTTTTTCCAAAAAAAAAAAAAAAAACCTTTTTAGCTTTTTGTGGCACTCTTGGTTTGTGGTAGAATCTCTCTGATCATTATCCATATGTTGTTTTTTTTTATAGATTATCTTCTTTAAAACCTGATCAAAGTTTCCATGCTTCTAAATTTTTTTTGTTTTTTTAATTCTGAAATATGAAATGTATTACCATTCAAAAACAATTCAAATATTTTGTGGTCCATTTAAATGGCGTTTACGAAAATGTGAGAAATAATGAATTAAGTAAGAAATTTTCAGCTGTGCCTGGTACTGTAAAAACGTATTAGGTTTGATAAACAAGCAAACACAGTCATAGTAAGACTCCCCTGAGCTGACGCTAAGCCTCTATTTGACGGAGATATTGGTAAAGCTGAGGTAACTTTCCGGTCTTTTTCCTCGGGAAAAAAATGAGTCAAACTCTCCTGTACTTATCCATTTCCTATTAGATGACTGTACACACCATTAGACTTCTCTGTCTCTGAATTATTTCCTTCTGTCTTTTATTTTCTTTATACAAACTTCTTTGAGAGTGACATTTAAGGTTTTAAAGGCGATAACATGCTTCCTGTCCTTTATTTTCAGTTTTTTGGTTTTAACATTTATGCCAGAAGGATGGTTGATGTATCACTGATACCCATAAGCACGCAAAGTGTCCCGACAAAGGTTTAAATATATATTCTAAGACAATGTATTTACACTGTTTTTACTCTGAAGAAGGGAGGTTGAAAAAAACAACAACAATGGACTAAAAATAAAGCTTCAGACTTTTCTTGGAATATTAGAATAAACTGTTTGACAGGGTTAGAAAAACAAAACTTTTCCCAGAATCACTGCAGGGCACATGAGAGTCAGCTTGGTAAAGTACCTGGAGTTCGATGATGGGGCAACGTTTCCTCCACATCAGATGAGGTGACGGCCCTCTTTGTTGACAAGTCTCTGAGTCCCACCACAAAGTCAACAAACCAAACAAGCCAGTCGTCATAAAACACAACACAGCTGAAAAGGAAGCAGGCCAAAAACCACATTAGTGGCAGCAGACAGGGAGTGATTTATTTATTTATCTATTTTATAACAACCTACTAGAAACATACCATAAAGCATAAAAAAGCCACTTAATGAGCTGAATCCAAACAGGGCATGGCTGAATTAGAGACAAATTTAGACCGAGATTATTATGCAATAACTGAATAGTAAACAGTGAATCTAGGCCGCCTGAGGGAAAGACAGAGCACAAATGTTAAGTTTTTGTGAAATACTCTTCACACGCAGAGTGAGATTTGCATGTAAGCAATTTCTCTACTTAAACTATAAACACTGAATCTCCGTAGGCTGACAGAAAATGGGAGTACTGTAGGAGTTGGTTTCTTGTGAAACAGCTTGGTTTTGAGTTTCTGCTTAAAAAAAAAGAAAAGATCTCTCACTCTTTTGTAAATAGGCACCTTAAAATGTCAACATTGAAAAATACTGCTCAGATATGAAGCAGTATTTCTGCATTGGCATTTCTGTCTTTTTACAGACTAAATGAAGTAAATAGAAAAGTCAGAAAGGATAATATTTTGGCATTTCATGTCCTTGAATGTAATAAAATTATTATAAAAATCCCACCCATATGAGGAGTGAGGGTGTTGCTGCTTAGCTCTGATATAATCCAGTTCTCCGGTGACGCAGTTTGACCTCATATGGGTCTATTGTGTGTGCCAACAGGCTGTGGCAGGGCCATTTGCGGAAGAATGCCATGCAAAAAAAGTTTATCCATGGGTATGAGCCAAATTTCAATTTAAGTGCAAACTGTAGAAAACAAATGAAAAGAGGCATTCGTAAAAGTCAGTGGAGCCGTTTTCATTAAATCTTTGACGCCAAGGGAAATCAGTGACAGATGTTTTCGAAGGACAGCTGCATAAGCTCTAAGGAAGTACAGACAAACATAATTAGCCTTGTAATTTTGGATACAGTATTAAAAAAGGAAACAAATAAAAAGAGAATATTATTTTCGGCACAACAAAACACCAAAAAAGCGAGTTTCAGCAAAAAAGCTGTGTTAAAAAAAAGAGACATAATGTAGCTGCTGTTTTGCTGCTACATAATTTGTCTTTAAAGACAGGTAACAAATTATTATAATTTATTTTTTATTTTGTTATTCTTTTCCATGTTTAAAGCACTGAATAAACACAAGGTTGAAAAGAACAGAAGGGAAAGTTGCTGAAGACTAATGACACATAGAAATTGCTGAACTTGGCATTTCATTCATCCCATGGTAATCAAGAAAATCAGAGGTAGCAATAGAAAAATGTCATTTTCCAATACATATTTATAAGTCAAACGTCTTATCCATTAAGGAGGAGGAAGTCATATCGGAGAAATGTGTTCAAAGAGCAAGGCAGAGAGAGCTCTGCCCAGCATTTAGAAGCAGCTCTAAGATGAGCACAGTCTGCCTGAAATTAGCCACAGTTGTGAATGACTTATTGCGACCAAAATCTGAATAGAAAAAAAGGACAATTCTAGCAATATTGAAGTAGAAGTTGCAATTTCTGCTTCAGTACTGCGGAGCACTGTTACTCTGATGTACACTGATGTACATTAAAACAACAGACACACTTTTGAAAACAATTTAGAATATAAATAGGACTTAATAATAAAAGTGCGATAAACAAATATTAGCTGGTACCATAAACCTATTTTTACACAATGTAGTTTCTAGTTTTATCAGTATTAGCTTTTATTTGCATTGTATGCAAACAGTAACAGTATTATTACTGCAACTGTCAGCCTATATTTCTGAAAGATGAACGGGAGGAGATAAAAACATTTATGAGTCACATCTACTAAAAGTTTGCAGAAGGATATGTGTCAAACTAAGTAAGACCGACCACATCTTCCTCTATAGGAGGTGAGGCCATCATCTTACATATTTTTGTCCCCTTGAAAGGCGGACAACTACCATAAAAGGTAAAACATCTGAAAGGCAGAGGGTGTGCAGAGGTGGTGAAAGGCAGACTGAATTAGGTCAGTGCAGCTTGACAACAGGTTTTTCTTTTTGCAGAGGATTCTAAATTATATTAATATTTTACACTGGAATCATTACTCATCATGGGTTTGCATGGGGCTTTCTTTCTCGGCCTTACAATAATTTTGCAGATTTCTGCCTGCATTAAAAAGTGCTGGACAGCAAACTAAACAAAACATGTTTTTGCAGTAAAAACAGTGTCAGCAATGTGTTCACATCAAAGACAAGCCCAAATCCTCTACTCTAACCATCCATGTGGGTTTGCAAGTCACAACATACTACTGTATCTGGAGAACATCTGACCACCATGATTCTTGCATCTCCCAAAATTTGGATAACATTTTTTTATCCACCATTATGATGTACCTATCTTGCTTTGATCCCAGATAAATATGCAAGTTATTCTTTTTAATAAGAAGGGAAATGTCAGTTAAATATATGTCTGTCTCCATCCTGTAATTGCTGCAAGAGGGAAGCATGCGTGAGAAAAATAGGCTTACCTCTTTTTTAAAGGAGGATAATCAAAGCATTTGAGGCAATATGTGTTTTGAAATTTACAAGCTATTGCTAATGATTTGGGTCATTTCTGAATAAAATCCTCAGTGTTGCATCAGCAGGTACAGTGACAAGATAACCGGAAGTTACAAATAACCAGCCCAAACATGCACTAATGTATTGAAACTGTCTGAAAAGGTTTAATAAGCACATCTGATTCATTTGGTCTTTATTTGATCTCCTTTAATATTGTTTCTTATACAATTATATAGCATTTAAGCTTTTATTTTGAAACTATTATATGTATAAAATGCACACTAATTCTGGTTTTGAGAACAATCAGTAAAAGTAAGTTGGTTGGTGTATTAAATATCAGAACAATCTTTTCCCTATTCTCTATGATTGTCTTTTCCTTGACCTATTTTCACATTTTAGTTGGAATCCATCTTAAAATAAACAGGAAATATAATTCTATATTTAAAAAAATGGAAGCAGATATTTTTATATAAACTCTTTGAGCAATAAAATAGCAGAAGTGTCTGGCTTGGTCTCATGATGTTTTGCTTATTTATGAACACACTCAAACAGCTGTTTCAGGATGACAACAAATCAACTCCTTTATCTGTCTTTGATGCTCTTAATTAGTTTTTTTGTTCAATGTGGTGAATTTTAATCTATATGAGTTTGTTTGATTACATAATCGCCTTCAATACACTGTTTTTTTTTGTTTGTTTTTTTTTTTTAAGTGGATTCTGTTAGACAAAAGAGCCAAGAGGTTTAATACTTAACAATAACTTGCTACAATTTATAAACAAGAATAATATGATATAAGTGTTCTTATTTTACACAAACGGAATGTTTTCCTAGAAAAAAAATCTACTTATCAACCACTCATTAGTTCATAGGCATAAAATAAATGTGGAAATTCCCTGCCTTGTAAAGTCTTGAGCAGCACTTATGACAGAGGAGGCGGGAGCGACGTATGGTGACTAACACTTTACTCTGCATAAATACTAGATCTACAACCCCAAGCAGCAGCACAGTGCAGACAGACAGCAACAAGAGCCACCTCAAAAGCAAAGAAGCCATCGCTGAAGTGTAGACGTTGTTGATCATCTGAGATTTTCCGTTTTTTTTTAACCTTAATTCACACTTAATATTCTGATCTTGAAGTTCGTTTTAAAATTTGTTGCGTTTTGTGCCACAGTAGATCTCATGATGGGAGGCTGTGCGTTAGTCGTGTGTTTACTTTTGGGAATAGGTGTGCAGAACGGATGGAGCCTTCCTGTCAAGTCGGTCTTTGTCACCTTCCCAGGAGAAGTTGTCAAAAACATGACAGATACAGAGCTGGCAGAAGTGAGTAGCAGATGGTTTGTTGTTGTTTTTTTCATAGGCTCAGGGTCAGAAAATTAGGTTTTGATAAATCTGTGCAGGAAACAAATTACCTTGAAAAAGATTGACATACCAATGTTTGATGAAATGTTTATCTACTAAATGAAAACTACAAATAACTTTTATAGAACCTATTTAGAAGTTCCACTTAACAAAAAATGAAAAAAAAAAAATGCATTTAACTGAACTGTGATCTGCTTTACCTTCTTCTTCAGAGTTATCTAAAGAAATTTGGCTACATGGAGACAGAGCTCCGCAGTGGCTTCCAGTCCATGGTGTCCACATCCAAAGCACTGAAGAAGATGCAGAGGCAGATGGGTCTGGAGGAAACTGGAGAGCTGGATAAACCAACACTGGAGGCCATGAAGCATCCTCGCTGTGGTGTTCCTGACGTGGCCAATTATAAAACATTTGATGGGGACCTCAAATGGAGCCATAATGATGTTACATACAGGTGAGTTGAAATAAGGCATCCTATTGTTTCACATTAGTGGTTCCATACAGTGGCATGTGAATAACTTAACTTATATCCACTGATTCTAACAACTCTGCTTTTATGGATTTTACAAAATATATATATTTTTAAAGGCTTCAAAGGGTAAACAAAAACTGCTAATGACATCACAAAGGCCACAATAGTGCATTTGATTAACACTACTAGTGAAGGATAGAGGACTTCTACATAATGTACAAATTGTTTGAAAAATGCCAAAAAATAAAAACAAAAAATAGACACAGTGACCTGGCCCTTTTGTGATATAATGTGATATATACCACAGGTATGTCCATGAAGGCTTGCTCTTGCCATGGTCAATTTTAGTATAAAAGATAATGTTTTACAGCCTAAAATCAAAAGAATACTGTATAAAACAGTTGCAAAACATGATGTTCTAATGTTAAATAACTGTATTTAAATTGAGTTTGGTTGACCTCACTGAAAAGTCTGACCTGTAGCTTTATAATACTGTTGATCTGAAATGGTAGAGAAACGTTTGTTAAGTCATCTTGATTTTTCATCTCCTCAGAATCCTGAACTATTCTCCTGACATGGACAGCTCCCTGATTGATGATGCCTTTGCAAGAGCCTTCAAGGTGTGGAGTGATGTCACTCCTCTGACGTTTACTCGCCTCTTTCAAGGCACTGCTGACATCATGATATCATTTGGAAAAGCTGGTGTGTGTCTTTTGCACATCTTAGAGAATTGATAAACATAGCTCTAAAAATCAAGCATTGATAAGCTGCTTCTTGTTCTTTTAGACCACGGGGATCCATACCCTTTTGACGGTAAGGATGGCCTCCTAGCTCACGCCTATCCTCCTGGTGAGGGTATGCAGGGTGATGCCCACTTTGATGATGATGAGTACTGGACTCTGGGGAAAGGAGCAGGTAATTACACCTGAGAAATCACATGCTACTGCCTCCCTCTGGTGTTCACTGTCAAGATTTTCTTTAACACCCAACCTGTCATCTCAGTGGTGAAGACTCGCTTTGGTAATGCAGAAGGTGCCAACTGCCACTTCCCCTTCACTTTTGAGGGAAAATCCTATACCAGCTGCACCACTGAAGGTCGCACAGACAATCTGCCATGGTGTGCAACCACAGCAGACTACAACAAAGACAAGAAATACGGCTTTTGCCCAAGTGAACGTAAGTATGACAAATATCACATATGTTTAAAAGCTTGTTGAAGAACACTGGAAATAACCCAGCCTTTCTTTTAACCGTAACCACATAGTTCTGTACACATTTGATGGAAATGCGGATGGAGCTCCTTGTGTTTTCCCCTTCACCTTCCTGGGCGACGAGTATGACAGCTGCACAACAGAAGGCCGCAGAGATGGATACCGTTGGTGTGCCACCACAAGCAACTTTGACAAGGATAAGAAATATGGCTTCTGTCCGAGCCGTGGTGAGTAAAGGAAGCACAAGGCGTAAAACCCACAAAGTCCTGCCACAATGGCTTGTTAATTTGTTTAACTGCTTGTCTTATGTCTTTGTTTGTCCAGACACTGCTGTAATTGGAGGAAACTCTGAAGGAGAGCCCTGCCACTTTCCCTTTGTGTTTCTGGGCAAGGAGTATGACTCCTGTACAAGCGAGGGGAGAGGAGACGGCAAATTGTGGTGTGGCACTACTGACAACTATGATGAAGACAAGAAATGGGGCTTCTGTCCTGACCAGGGTGAGCCTAATGAATGCAATAGATTAATTTGCATTCATCATTATTATACAATATTAAATGTACTACTGGTCATGTTCCAGGTTATAGTCTTTTCCTGGTGGCTGCCCACGAGTTTGGACATGCCCTCGGCTTGGATCACTCCAACATTAGAGACGCTCTCATGTACCCCATGTACAGCTATGTGGAAAACTTTTCTCTGCATAAAGATGACATTGAAGGCATTCAGTATCTCTATGGTAAGCAGACAGTTCGATAGTTTCAAATTAGGATTTTCATCAAACACAACAAAATGTTGTATTAACCAAGAATATTCTGATCTTTTGCAGGAAGTAGAACAGGCCCTGATCCCACCCCCCCTCAACCTGACACGCCTACCACGACTCCTTACCCTGATGAGACTGATGAGACTGACGAGACTGATGCCACAGAAGAACCATCCATCATGACCACCCCATCCACAGTAGATCCGACCCAAGACGCCTGCAAGCACATCAAGTTTGACACCATTACTGTGATTCAGGGACATCTGCATTTCTTCAAAGATGGGTGAGTGAATCTGTAATTATATCTATAATTCTTTAGATAATTCCACTCATTTTCTAGAAATACTGCCCAATGAGGTGCTACATCATACTTTTTGTGTCCACAGACAATTCTGGAAGGTACCAAACAGGGGCGACGGAGGCCAGCAGGGGCCATTTTCCATTTCTGAGAGTTGGCCAGCTCTACCAACTGTAATTGATTCTGCGTTCGAGGATGTTCCAACCAAAAAATTGTACTTCTTTTCTGGTAATGGATGGTTTCTTCAAAAACTTATCAGAGCAGAAATGTAAGCCAAATTTGTTATTAATGTTATCTCTTCTGGATTCCAACAGGAAGCAGGTTCTGGGTGTATACAGGAAACAGTGTGCTGGGTCCTCGCAGCATTGAGAAGCTTGGTTTGCCCTCAAGTGTGCAGAAGGTGGAGGGAGCTCTGCAAAGGGGGAAGAGCAAAGTACTGCTCTTCAATGGAGAAGACTTCTGGAGGTGAGTGGAGATGTTTCTTCTTGTATTTCAATTATTTTAGAATGTAACACTCCATCCTCAGGTTACTATCTGCATTAAAGGAGCAACAAAAGATTTTATTTATGTTTGATCCCAACAGGTTGGATCTGAAGACCCAAACAGTTGACAAAGGCTACCCCAAAAATACCGGTGATGTCTTTGGAGGTGTCCCTCATGATGCTCATGATGTGTTTCAGTACAAAGGTAAGCAAATATCCTATAATAAAGCTCAACAAGCTGCACCAGAAAATCAAATTCATGTTGGTTGCTTTAAAATCAATGTTTCTTTTTCAGGCCACATTTACTTCTGCAGAGATCGCTTCTACTGGCGCATGAATTCTCGTAGGCAGGTGGACCGCGTAGGCTACGTGAAATATGACCTCCTGAAATGCGCAGATCCCTCAAGAAATCGCTATTAAGATACATGCACAGATGGGTATAAGGTTGTGGCAACCAACTGTTTCTCTGTGCAGGTGTCAGTAAGAATGTGATGCAATGTTTGCGTATCATGCCTGTTTTATGATGTTTGTTCTCTCTGCGACATGAACAACTGACCCGGAATGAATTTGGCTAATTATCACTCATACAGCATTGACCTGAATAACAGTCAAAGAACCAGAACAGGAAAGCAAATGTTTCATCTTTTGCACTGCCCTACCCTAAGTCTGATATTCTGAGAGCTGATGGCCAATAGGGCCTAAAATTTGAGACCCATACAAGTAACTTAAACACATGTTATCTGGATAAAGATCCAGACTTGCAGATTAAATTTTATGTCTGACTGGTTCAGACCCTTGACAGTATTGGATTATTTTTGGTATTTATAACAGTATATTATGTTTTTATTTTAATGTCACAAGCCTATTTGTTCTGTGTGGTTTTATGTGTTTTTTCTGAAAATGGTTTTAAAGCCGAATACTTGCACTGGAAGACGTTTTGTGTCTCCTTCATTGAAATTATTTATAAAACTAATAATTTTGTATAAATATTCCAGCTTTCAATGCAATAAACTTTCTGTGAGAAAAAAAAAAACTTCCTTTGTCAGCATCTTTATCATTCACCAGCATCTTTATTATTCACTTTGGGACAGACTTTTATGACTCATTCCAATGTCTGCATTTAACCTAATGTGACTAAAAGACAGCCGGTACTGCAGCAGTTAAAACATGATTCATAGCTGTTTTTTTCTTCTCAAAAGACATGCTTGAAAAAAACATGTTTTACATTTATTTTGCATTATGTAAACAACTGCAGAAAATTTCAAATCTCTGGGTATAACAGTTCCAGAGCTATTGAACTTTTAAAGGTATTGTGGGGGATTTTTTAAAAGATCCACCCTCTCCACTTTAAAATAATGCTTGGATCATGCATGCTCTGCATGAGCCTGTTTCTTCTCATCCACGCCCTGTTTAAAATGTGCTTTTCACATAGCTCATACAAGCTTACTGTGTCCATACAGTGGGGACTATATAGTGGACTTTGTAGCAAACTCCGTTAACTGACCGTTCGGACGGATGATCACTGGTTTTTGCTCCGTTGGTAACTTAACTCCTCCTCCACTGCGTGGTGCCTGAGCCATCTTTGTAATTAGTCGCCACTGTTGGGTAGCGACAGTCTATGGCGGGCCGCAGTGACAGCAAATCCCATAATGCTTTGCGAGGAGAGATCTCTGTGCAAAGCATTCCAGGATATATCTGCCTCTTCTGCGGCCCTTCTTTTCTTCTCATGCACTTCATAGACACGTTTTCTCATACAACCCAATGCCATTTTCAAAGAACTGCAGTGAGGAAGGCGAGCTTCAATGATTGTTTGAAACCGTAGCTAACCACACATATTCTGATGAAAGTGTGCATGTGCAGAGAAAGATAGCTAAAGGAGCGAGCACATAGGACAGCCTTACGTAAACATATCTCCAGATTGATTGACAAGTAGGGGGACCACTTATTTTGATGATCCACTCGGAAATAAAAGATTTTCCTTTATATGATCAGTTAGAAATTAAGTGTCAATATGTGCCAGGACATTTCTCCCACACTAATACACCACAACCTTTTGTCTGAACTGATGATTTTTTAAGGTATCTCAAAGACCATTTTTCCTTTACTCTCTGTTTAGACGCATACGGTAGTTTGAACCTTAGCATGTCTAATTGCATTTAGCTGCCCTGATTTGTTTTGCACTGTTGGTGTCAGTAAACAGTTGAAATGATGATTTGGATTTGTGCTATTTAAATAAACGTAATTGGACTGAATTGAAAAAGAAAATAGATTCAAAAATACACTTTTCTTCTTCTCAATTTTGTACATGAAATCAATGGAGCCGTTTTTCAATTTTTCAGCAAGAGAAAATTGCTGTAAAATTTGTACTCATGTTGGAGATCCCTCCATATGCCTCTCTCAGTAGTTTGATGAAATTACCAGTTCCTCCTGTAAGTACTGGTGTGTCTAGGTCAAAATTATAGACTTGCAGGCATTTTTGACAACTGCCCACAAAGGTCAAAGCTTTGTGATGACTGCTTAAACACATTGACTACTTTGTCCTTAAGCATCTTTGTAACTTACTTGGAGGGATGGGTTCATTGTCTATCTGAGAGATCAATCTATTCCCAAGCTTTACCCGCCTGGCTGATGTTCTTGTTGAGCATGTCCAACCTTGGCCATAGTGTACTCATCTTCTTATGGATTTTTCAAACTGGACAATGCACCATCTTTCAAAGCTCAGGTCATTCAGACTTGTTTGCTGAATACAACAAATTATTTACTTTAGTCATACTGTATGTATTCACCGCATCGAAAATACAGATCTCAACACACAATCTAGAGCCAAGACATAGACATAACACAGACAGTATAAAAAGCAATCATTGGTTTTAATTGGGTTGTATAGATGTTCAGGGGAGAGCTTTCCCTCTTTGTGGAGATCGTATCAAAACAATGATTGATATGGAGCTGGCAAGATGCAGTAACAGATGGCTCATTTTGTCTTCATAGCCTCAGACTCCCCAAAACCAAGTTTAGTCAAGCTGTGCATGCAAACTAATTACCAGTTACACGAACCCCTATCACAATGTTAATAAAAAAGGATATTTTCATATCCATGCCACAAGAGGATTCCACAGATGCACATGCACACGTGTGATAAACATCTCATTTATATTCTGATGGAGTTTAACATATTCTCAGGTTTTTAAAATTGACATCAGGTCTAAGACTTTCCCCTTCAAAGTTCAGAGGAGGCAGCAGGGACAGATAATGACTAAAAAGTAGAAAACTTTATGGAGAAAAAAAAAAAGAAATTAAATGAAACTGGATGCAAGCACTGGCTTGAGGAGAAAGTCTGTCTGAAAATAAGAAAATTTGTTAACCTCAACAAATTACAAAACAATCACAATTTTTTCTTATTCGATTGGTGATTCAATTCAAACAGAAAAATGTTTTTAGATGATTTGTTGAATACTGGATGAGATTTTCAAATTTGGGTATGTGAATGTAGAGGATTAGGCCTTACCACTAAATAAAATAAAAAAATCCACAATTACAAGGAAAACCTATGTATTAGATAAGACTATTGTTATTGTATTTAATACACAAATATCAATATGCTGACAAAGTATTTTTATGTACCACATAATGAATGCACTCAGTAATTGGTTGAGGGTCCTTTTACATTTAATACGTCAATGTCTTCAAATTGGGAGGCATTGCAGGCAATAAAATCTTTATCTTCATCTTAAAAGAAGATCATTTTTAAAATGAATGTAAATTACTGGATCCATATCCAGTTCATTTTTATCCTTAGCCAAGTTAAAATGTGACTAAAGTTGTCTCTGGTTGCAGAGTGACACAACACGGTGATCCTAAACTTTCAGCTTCTTACCCACAGAATATCAAAGAAAGAGACTAGTGACCCAAACTCCTCTGGTCAGTTTAAAAGTGGTACAATGAAAACACAAACAGCAGCAAAAATTAATGTAGCATATGTTGTGTTTTTATGTATTATAACTCCCTAGTGAGAATGCCTCAGGAAGAATGGGCTCATGGAAATTTCCTGTTTTGAGTCCCTTCTCCATCTTTGTGTCCCTGGCCGGACACTTTAACCTCCTTGCAGGCTGTTGGTGTTCAGGGGGTTCAGTGACGCCATGTATTGTAGCCATGCTTTTGTCAGATTGCCTCAAAGCAGTTTTGACTTGCCATCATCAGTGGGTAAATGCAAAGTGTTTATAGGTCCTGGGATTTGATCAATAAGTGGAGACCAATAAACAATTTTAACAGGAACTGTGGGCTATATTTTTTTTGTGTTAGCCTGTTCATTTTTTTAATATTGGGACGCATCTCTTAATCTCAACGCCCTACTGAATTTACACACTGCACATTCTAAGAGGGGCCACGACTCACACTCTCAAACTGAGACTTTAACCTTGTGAATCTTCTTCTCACACTTGTTTCCCTCCATTAAAATGTGACATTATTATGTTTGAATACGACACATTGTGAGTTTTCAGCTTCTGTAACAAAGATTGTTGGTATTCTGACTAACTGCTGAATAAATAAAGCCTTCACTCAAAAAAAGCTGTTGTTTAGGATTTGACAAAGGGGACATTTAATTAATTCACTTCAGGTTTTTGCCTGATTTTATTGTTTCTTTTCTTTCCAGCAAGTGAAATTCGATTTTTCCAAGTATGGACTACAGAATCGGTTGGAAAAGAAATACTCAAAATCAAACTCCAAATGCTAATTGCAAGATATCACTAGGCCTCTAGCTATAGACCATAGCACAATTTCAAACAATCAAAAGCACAAAGATTATTTAGCAAAACTCAGATATATTAATAAAGCTGTTATGTAACTGCATTGTTTGCATATGAATGCATTTTCTTTCTTTTTTTTATTTTTATGGTGTGGCGCTTACAAACGCCTCAAGGTGCATTATAAATGTAACATTCCACAATCAGGTTATCTTTATACGGCTTTTGGAGGCCTCTATATCATGTATTTATTTTTCTTGACATGACCCGGTTTTGACAAAGATGGGGAGTAGTTAGGAAAAACACAAATTCATTATATGATGCTTGCATGTCTCCCCCTAGTGTTCAAATTTAACACCAACGCTTTCTGATTTTTCTAAAATTCACTCAAAATGTGATTTTTCTTTTTTTTTTTTTTTTTTTGGTCAACTGATTGAATACACTTAACAATGCATGAACGTCAGACATTTCTTCACAAAATTTTGTAGCAAGTTGTAAATGTTTTGTATTAGAATTGGTTTGCTGTTTAATAAATGTTAAGTGATTAGAACTGCTTCCTGACTACAGATAGATTACAGGTCAGGGTTTAGCTACCAATAATATAAAAAGCAATAATGAGGTCTACAGTGATAAATCAATAGAAAACTACCTTAAGAAGACATAATGTAATTAGCTTTCAGGAAAAAATAAAAAAATAAACAAAATCAAGGGATCTTGTTAAAGGACATTTTAACATAAAGGTTTTGTTTGTATTACCTAAATAACACATCAGGCTAAAAATTGTTCTACTGTAGAAGGAAAATGAATCTAAATGAGAAACTGTGACAAATTAAACCTTGGCATAACTTTTAACATTTTAAGATACTTTTTTTTAATACATGAATTTTTCTTAAATAGCTTTTTTATGTGACCCACCAATAAGTGGAAGTTTTACCTGAGGCCTTGAAAGTGATTCTCGACTGGCACATTTACAGATTGAGAAAGATTAAAGACCAGTCTTTTAGGGGTAAGATGATGGTTCTATGGCAGTTTTTCTTGTTTCATTTTTGTCTGTTTTAAAATAATATAAACATCTTGTTATGCAGGGCTGCAAAAATTAATTTTTTTAACCGAACATTGGCGTAGTTGTCAACTAATTTGGTAAGCGAATCCTAGTTTAATTGTACACAGACTCTAAAATATGCAATTTGCTGATGGAGTATTCAATTTACTGCAGCAATTAAGAAAAAAAGACTGTACAATATATACGTATACATATCCTTAAATGTTTT